AATAATACAAAATTTTACATTTATTTATAATTAATTCATATAAAAAATTATAAAAATTGATATTTACATAAATTATTTTAGTTTATTGTAATTAATTTAAAATTAATTTTTAACATTTTTATAAAATAATTAAAAAAATTAGATTTGATATACTTTTTATGCGAAAGAAAATTCGCTAACATATTATAAATTAAGGGTTAAAAATAAAATAATTACATTTTTAACATCAAGAGAACTCGAACTTGTGTCTTCTCCACCAAATGCAACATGGACGAACCAATAGAACCACTGCCAATGTTGTATCAAACTTTAACATAATATTATATTTATTTATATTCAATTGACCCGATGGTTTAAACAGTCTAACCAATTAAATCGATCAAACCAAGAACCGAAAGTCAAAATGGTTTGACCTCCGGTTTGGTTTTCAAAACATTGGCAAAAACCAACTTGAAGTAGGACATAAATCGTGATTGGTCATGTGCCACACATGAACAGTAAACATTTTTTTTCTCCTTTTTCTAACATCAAATAGCATTGGCAGTTCCAAATAAGTTGATAATGTACAATAAAAATCTTGATTCATGTTAAAATTTAAGATCTTATAAAGATAGTTGTAATATTTCCTCTCTTCTCTCATAATTCCTTTTATACCAAAAATAAAGAGTTTAAATTCTATCTTAACTCAAATTTCTAATCTCTAAACTTATTGAAAGATGAATTTTTTTTCCCTAGGTGCATGAAAGGATTATTTGTTTAACATGAAAAATATTTTAAATTTTTAATTTAACCTTAAATCAAGATTTTGTAATTGAAAGAGAATTATAAAAGTTAAAAAAGGCACTTTGGAATTATTATATTGCAAGTTTCATCTCTTTGGACAATTGGTGTCATCGTGATGTACAAAGGTCATTACCAATGGAAAGAGATAATTGACATTGTAGCATTAGATATGACATTACTTGGAAGAATCAAACGAGCAACTCTATAGTCTTTAGGTTAAATGCTCATTTTGGTCCCTCAACTTTATCCATTTGCACATTTTTGATCCCTAATGAATTTTCTGCACATTTTTGATCCCTCAACTCTAAAAAATGCACACCGTTAGTCCTTCTGTCAGTTATCTGTGACGTGGCAATTAAAAAATTTCACGTGGCATTTTTTTATAAATTTTTTATGACATGGCAATAACACATCAGAAAAAAAATGCCAACTCATATGCCATCTCATATACTAAATTAAATTAACACTTTATTTTTAA